AGGATTCCTTCACCGTGGCCTGTTGGACATGTGCGGCACTACCAAGTCAATCTATTCCCTCCCAGCCTGGGAGCTGGAGTGGGGAACTCCTCCACATTCGTCTGTGGGACACACATGGCTCTAACAAACAGTTCTTGGCCTGCCCAGAGTGCTAGACTCCTCCACCACCTCCTGCAGGGCACACGTGGCTCTAGCAAGCAATTCTGGGCCCACCCAGCACAGGTGCTTGGAGCAGGGAACTCCTCTGCTGGCCCCCGTGTGGTGTGCGTTTCTCTAGAAGGCTGCTTGGGGTCTGCCTGGATTGGAGGACTCTTCCGCCACTGCCCACGGGACACCCGTGGCACTAGCAAGCAGTTCTGGGCCCACCCAGAGCCCTGGAGCGGGGATCTCCTTGGCTGCCTGTGGGGTGCATGGCTCTAGCAAGCAGTTCTGGGTCCGCTCAGAGTGGGGGACTCCTTTTCCACCGCCCGTGGGGTGTGTGAGGCTCTATCAAGTAGTTCTGTGCCTGCCCAGAGCAGGGGAAATCCTGTGTGGCCATCTGCAGCCCACAGGAGGTGTGCGGCTCTAGCAAGCAGTTCTACAGCTACCCAGAGCCCTGGAGCAGGGATCTACTCTGCCACCCATGGGGTGCACAGCTCTAGCAAGCAGTTCTGGGCCCTCCCAGAGTGGGGGACTCGTTTGCTGCCACCCGCGGGGCTGCACAGGGCTCTAGCAAGTGATTCTGTGCCTGCCTGGAGCAGGGGAATTCCTTTCCAGCAGCCTGCGGGAGGCTTGCGGCTCTAGCAACCAGTTCTGGACCTGCCCAAAGCCCTGGGGCGGGGTTCTTCTCTGCCGCCCGTGGGGTGTGCAGCTCTAGCAAGCAGTTCTGGGTCCTCCTGGAGTGAGGAACTCGTCCGCCGCCACCTGCGGGGGTGTGCAAGGCTCTACCAAGTCATTCTGTGCTTTCCAGGCACAGGGGGCTTTTCTGCGGCCACCTGCCACCTGTGGGAGGCGGGTGGCTCTAGCAAGCAGTTCTGGGGCCCACTTTGTACCTGTATTTTATGTTCTTAAATGATCTTCCTTGGATTTATAGCTTGCTGAACTTCTTTCTGGGCTCAGCTCCCCGTCTTTGGCTTCATAGATTCTGATTCCAACCAGTTTTTCTTCCTTTGCTCAGGAACCTCTGACCAGGGTTGCTACCAGTCGGCCATCTTCCCCTATTTTATTATTTTAGCTATTATAATTTTTTCTGTATATTTTATTTCTGGTATAGTTGGTTGACTTGAATGTTAATGGTAGCTAAATTCACAATTGCTAAGACATAAAATTAACCCAAGTGCTCATCAACACATGAATAGATTAATAAACTATGATATGTGGATACCATGGAATACTATTCAGCCATAAAAAGATGAAGACTTTATATCTTTTGTATTTACCTGCATGGAGTTGAAGGACATTCTCCTTAGTAAAGCATCACAAAAATGAAAAAGCAAGGCTTGACATCTGTGGCTCAGTGAATAGAGTGCTGGCCACATACACCGAGGCTGGATGGTTGGAGCCCAGCCTGGGCCTGCTAAACAACAATGACAACTACAACCAAAAAATAGCCAAGAGTTGTGGTGGGCTCCTGTAGCCCAGCTACTTGGGAGGCTGAGGCAAGAGAACTGCTTAAGCCCAAGAGTTTGAGGTTCCTGTGAGCTTTGATGCCACAACACTCTCCTAAAGGTGACACAATGAGACTCTCAGATTAAAAAAAAAGAAGAAAGAAAAAGAAAAAGCAAGTATCTAATGTACTCAATATTAATATGAGACCAACTGACGAACAACTATATGCTCACACAAGAAAAAAAAAAACACAATTAAATTCAAGTAGGGGAAAGGAGGGAAAGGAGAGGAAGAAGAGGAAGAGAGATCAGTAAGCTCTTACCTAAAAGGCACAGTGGAAGGCTGTGGGTGAAAATGTGGTAGAATTTGCTGAGTAGTAGAGGCAGATGAAGTTATCCTTTTGATTTATTTAGATTACAATTTATGGAATATTTTAACTATTAGGGAATGCAGATTGTGAGGCAAGGGATAAAAGATAGATAGAAGATGTGTATATCTCAGGAAGTAAGTGTGCAGGGAGATCACAATATGTATTGGGAGCCCCCTAAGTCTGTTGAACATGACAACACAGGCCTTGGAGAACAGGGAAAGAAATCACAATCACCAAGATGTGAAAAAAACTCAAGTGTCTATCAATTTATGAATGGATAAATAAACTATGGTATATGTATACCATGGAATACTATTCACCCAGAAAAGAAGAAGAAGACTATATATTTTGTATTTATCTGGGTAAATTTAAAGAACAGCCTCCAAAGTAAAGTGTAAAAATTATGGAAAAAGAAAGAAAGAAAGAAAGAAATGTCTTAGGGAGGCCTGCTCCTTCCACCACAGAGCCTGGACAAAGGTCTCTGAGGGCTAGCCTAGTTGTTGCTAGATGTGCTGGGAACAGCATGGGCAGCTGACTCCTTGATAAGAGAAACAATTTCTCAGGGCTAGATAAGAATAACAATTTCTTTCTCTCTCACTCCTGGTGTGGGTATGCCATCTACCTATCTGCCCTGCAGGGACCTGAAGGCTTAATTATCTCCTGTGGAAACTGTGAGCATGGTCAAACCTGCTGTCTGCTCTTGCATCCTGCTTCTAAGCTTTGTTCTGTTTCATTAACTGCATCTCAATTCTTTAGTTTATAAATAACATAGAATATAAGTAGCTTAAGATCAACTTAGCTGAAGTAGTTAAAGAGTAGCTAAGTCAAAGTGGTAAATACTGTAAAGGATGATATATAGTGTAGTTTTTTGCTTTCCCCTATGATTATTCCTTTGCTGATTTGAAAACTATAAATGTAATAAATACTCAGTTAACCTAGAACATGGGGCCTTCCCTGTTCCTCACAGTTTGGTAGCTATGGCCCCCTAAGTCCCTCTTTGAAAATCTTATGTTGTCTCTTTTGTCTTTATTTCTTTCATTCTTTTGTCTCTACCAAGAATTAGGGATACCTGGGTTGTGTTGGGGCTGGCTCCCCTGCAAAAGGGTATACAGCACAATCCCCTGGGTGAAGAAGTTGAACTTTAACAAATGCAAACAATGCAACCTAATCGTTTGTACCCTATTAATATAAAACTAAATACATAAAAAAGAAAAAGACACAGAAATGTAAAACTATCTGTATTGATGGATTAGAAGAATCTGTATTGTTAAAATATTAATATTATCAAAAATAATCTATAAGTTCACTCACTAGCAAAATCCAATATTATTTTTCACACAAAGAGAAAAATATTTATAATATTCATATGGAACCAATAACCTGTTTTCTTTGAGATAAATCCATTCAATTACACCCTTAGGATTTTTGCACTTTTCTGTGTGTATGTATGTTATAAAATAAGGAATAAATATTGTTAGCAATATGAATGGCTTGTACAGCATGCTCTAGGTGACACAAAGGTAAAAGTACTTAATTATAGTTAAGAATTGAAGAGAAACGTCAACAAGAAGATGGCAGCTATGAAATGTAAGCCAAGGAAATTAGTGTGTGTTCATCAGTCAGAAAAGAGAAAGGCATTACAGAGTAAACAAACACAAAAAACTTCAAATTAAGTCATTCATTTTGAATGGAAGGAATGGGAATAACTGGAGTAAACAACAACATCATCATTATAATGGAAAGTAGCTAGGTGCCAAATGTTTGAAAATTTATATGCTTAAATAAATTATTTATTCAGCAGGCAATAGGATAAATAAATTCATAAAATACATGTATAGCCATCTGCATCATAGGATAATTACCAAGGCAACAATGTGCCAGGCAGATCAGGAAGTGAAATACTGGGTAGAGAGATGACAAGAGATAGGTGGAAGAAATAATGTGAACCTGATCTGTAAAGGGGTATTGCCAGTAATGAAGGAAAGGAAGAAAATGACATGACTCATGATTATATAAAGGAAATAAGTGAAAGGGAGAGACCAAGATATTAGTAGCTACAGATCACAGTTATTGAGCAGTTGGTATGGGCCAGGCACTATACTAAGCCCTCTACAGGCATTTCCTCATTTATGACTCACATAAGCAGGCCTGGGTTAATTTGAGAGTGATAATTTTTCTTTTTTTAATTTTTTTTACACTGATTGCATTTATTAGGTAAAGTCCCTGTTAAAATTGTGTCTTGCCCCCAAAAGCTGTGGCACACACCAAGACCCTACTTCCCTCCCTCCTTCCCTCTCTCTACTCTTCCTTTCTCCCACCCCTCCCTCCTTCTGAGAGTGATAATTTTCCATATAATATCTCACTTATTTTGACAGCTCTGCTAGCTAGGTATTATGATCACAATTTACATCTGAGAAAATAAGGTTTATAAGTGATATGCCATGTTATACAGTTAGTAAATAATAGAGCCAGGATTCAAAGCTATGACTTGTCAGAGTCCCTGCAACAAAGTAGATAATAAATAAATAAATAACCATTGAATAAATAATTGGTTAAATGAATGATGACTAGATTTTGAACTACAAAGCTTCTGGCTGGCTTATCACAACCTGCTCTGGAACATAATATAATACTGGAGAAGACTATAAATGGTCATTAAAAAAAATAAAGTCACAGATCAGAAACTGGTAAAAAAAATTAGAAAATCATAGTATCTTGAAATGGTATTGAAATTCATCTAGATATATTAATAGTTCCAATAGTCCAGTGAATTATTTCTGGCAAGGTTTTAGGTTTTTGACATTCAAATTCTACCTGTAGAACTATTGTGAAGCCATTGCCTAGAACTAAAACTAAAAACCATACTAATAATACTAATAAAAATTATAGAATATTGCTAACAGAGCTAAGTACTTAGTAGTTGGCTGCTGCTAAGACATAACCATCCAACAGTGTTGAGTGTGAAGAAGTAATTCGAATCTCCACAAAAATTTGCCTTCCCCCTGACAAAAAGTTCTATCTTCTACAAGAAAAGTAGAGTTACCTTCAATCGGTTTTCCTTTTCCCACACAATGGATTGAATGAGGATAAGATGATTCAAAGAGAAGATACATTCAATTACTATAGGAAGTAAAATACCAACAAATGAAAAGAAATAATCATGACGATATGATGGGTATGGAAATCGTTGAACAAAAATGCTGGTATCATTAAACATCTTTTGTGCTCCAGTGCTGCTATGATAGAGCATGATGGCTTTATCTAAGGCATGTTGCACAGCCAGGAATCCTTCACTGATGTACCCTAAATCAGAAAACAAAGATTGCTAAGTACAACAGATGAAAAAAATAGCTGAGCTTAACAAAGAAAAAGGCAATTAAAGCTTATAAAGATAGCAAAGCTAATAGTTGTAATGAGGCTCTTCCCGTAGTTGAAATTTCAGGAAGCTATCGTATTTTTATCACATAAATGTATAGTAAATACTTCCTATAAGGATCTTAATGCTCAACTGCCTAGAATTGAAATATTGCATGGAATTATATAGCTGCTTTCTCAATTTCAATTAACTGACATAAATGAAAATTGAATTAATTATTAGACAGATAATGACTTTTATTCTGGACCCTGGACATTTGAAAGACAAAATGAAGTGCACACAAGAAGTGGTACAACTGAATGACTGGAAGACATTGCTTAACAAAGTGCTGCCTTTTGACCTGTGATAACATGCAGTTTCTTATTTGTACATGAATTTAGTATAAAGAGCAAGTACATAAACACTTCTGTAGAAATTTAGCAGTCCTAGGGCATTTAAAAAGAAATATTTCTATTAATTTATACAAGTCCTATATATCTATGTATTATGAATTGGAATCTTGTGTCAGATATACATATTGTGCTTATTTTATCCCCTTTGAATCTTGCTTTTTTTATTTCTTTAATAGTATCTGTCAATGGGAAATTTTGATGAAGTCCAATTCATCACTTTTTTTCTTTTATAGTAAGTAGCTTTTTTGTACTAACAAATCATTGCCTACTCCAAAGATATTCCCATACATTTTGTTATAGAAAGTTTATCATTTTAGCTTTATTATAATTTTAATTAATTTTGTGTAGGGTGTGATCATTCTTTAGAAAGATTCATTCTTTCCAAATAAATATCAAGTTTTTCTAGCACAATTTAAGAATATTTCCCTTTCCTAGTGAATTATATTGGCATCTCCAAGAAAACACAGTGACCATATCTGTATCAAATCATTTCCCTGTTCTTTCTGTTGGTCTCTTTGTTCATCCTTATACTTCTACAGGGATGATGATGTCTTAATTTCTGTAGCTTTAATCAGGCAGAATAAATTTTCTGCCATTGTTCCTTTTTAAGATTATTTTTCCTAATCCAGAGCCTTTACATTTTCAAAAATTTAAAATAAGCTTGTTAATTTCTTTAAGAAAATCTGCTGGGATTTTTGACTGTGAATCCATTTACTCTATAGATCAATTCAGAGAGAATTTACATCCTAACAATTTTGAATTATCCAATTAACTAAATTAAGATGTTTTATCATTTGTTCAGATATTTTAAATTTTTTCTTCAGAAATGTTTTGTCAATGTTGGTGTAGGTTTAGAATTTATTTTTATATGCTGTACTAATATCTTGGGATTTTGCTAAATTAGCACATTAGTTGCAATAGAGGCGTAGTTTTTCTTATCTTATCTGTATACATGATTCTGTCATTTGCGAACAAAGATAATTTCACTTCACTCCTTCCTTTCTTTTTCTGATACAGACTAGAAATTCCAAGAATCTGCTGAATGGAATTGATGAGAGCAGCATCTTTTCCTTATTCTTGAAATTAGGAGGGAAATATTCAATTTCATTAGTAATCTACAATTTTTTCATAGATAAGCTTTACTAGATTGAGGAAGTTCATGGTTTTTGGTACTTTGGGTAGAAAAGTTTTTTAAAATATACTTTTAATTTTGAAAAAAATATTATCTTTGTATAAAAATTGGAAAGGCAGTGTAGAACATTCCTGTACACCATGTATTCTCAACAGAGTTAGTATCACCCTAAGAGGACAAGAATACACACACAAATATAGAGTATATCTATGGTATTAAAATTTAATGGAAGGAGCAAATAGGGAAGAAAATTGTCTAGGAGGACTCTTTAAAAGGGCATTAACAACAACAAAAAAACCCCAAACTGAGAAATATTGCTATATACCCCATATCAAGCTTTCCCCATATTACATCTCACATCACTCATTGTACATTTGTCAAAACTAAAAAATTAACATTGGTGAAATACTATTTGTAATATATACAAACTTTATTTAGATTTCACCAGTTTTTCCACAATGTCTTTTTTTATTTATTTGTTCCAGGATCTCATTCAAGATATTGCATTGCATTTTCTTGGCATGTCTTCAAAGTCTCCTCAGATCTGTGAAATTTTCTTTCTTTTCTTATTTTTTCATAACTGTGAGAGTTTTTAAAGAATATTGGTCAGACATTTTTGAGAATGTTCCACAGTTTGATGTTATTGCAATGTTTTCTAACTAATAGACTAAGGCTATGAGTTGGGGTAAGGATATCACAAAGGTGAAGTGGTCTCTTCATATAATTATATCAGGGGATATTTGATATCAAAATGACATCAATGGTCATATTAACCATCATCACTGGGTTAAGGTGGTATCTGGGTTAAGAATATAGTCTATTCTTTGGAGATATGTGATTCAAGGGAAAGGGAGTATCCTATTTGGAAATTTTCTCTAATGAATATTTATGCCTGCCCATCCACTTACTTATATACTTATTTATATAAATATAGAATCACTGAAATTTTTTCTGTTCTTTGAGTAAAAATTATTACTATTGTTTTTAGTTCAGAGGAAATAAAACATTTTTTTTCTTCACTTATTTTGATGATTGGAATCTTCTAGCTTTGGCTAGTAGGAACTCTTTCAGATTGGCTTTCATGTAATTTTGTACATGATCAATCCCAGCCACATCTATACTTTATTTTAAAAAGTACTTCCTTTACTCCTGGCACTATAAGATGGATCATCTTGTATATTCTCAACCCAAGAAAAGGAACTAGAGCTATTTAGAGACATGACTCATTTTAGGGACAGAGTTGAGTGCTGTATTGCTACTAAGGTATATCTACTTTACAGGCCTTCCCAATAGACAAAGTTAGGAAATATATGCATTCTAATCCATGTATACATATACCTCTATATTTCTGTATCTATCAATCTTTATAAAGTAAATATAAGCTCATATTAGGTCTCCAACTATTAATTAAACACTACAGTGTTCATTCTAGCCCTTACTCCTTATTTGTTTGTAACTTCTTTCTCTAATACTGAGAAACCTGAACCCTAATATATCCCCATAAGAAAATACCCTTGTGACAAAAGTTTACCAACCAGACAGAAGAATTTATACATATTTATCTTGTCTTTAGCCTTAGAGTATCCATTTGAAACAGTTTTCTAACAAGTCATGTTGTTTGCTCTTATTTCCTCTTGCTAGAGCTGCACAGCTCCTGTGGGTGGCAGGTGGTGGCAGAGGAGTCCCTGGTCCGAGTGGGCCCAGAACTGCTTGCTAGAGCTGTGCATGCCCCTCAGGGGCTGGTGGAGGAGTGCCCCACTCTGGGCAGGCCCAGAACTGCTTGCTAGAGTCTTGTGGGCCCTGTGGGGGCCAGAGGAGGAATCCACCACTCCATGCAGGCCCAGAACTGCTTGCTAAAGTCACACGCATCCATGGGTGGCGTGGAGGAGTTCCCCACTCCAGGCTCCTGCACTGGATGGGCCCAGATCTGCTTGCTAGTGCCACAGGCATCCCGTGGGAGGTGGCAGAGGAGTCCTCCTCTCCATGTGGGCCCAGAACAACTTGCTAGAGCCATGCATGCCCTGCAGGCAGCAGTGGAGGAGTTCCATGCTCCAAGCACCCATGCCAGATGGGCTCAGAACTGCTTGCTAGAGCTGCATGTGTGCCATGGGTGGCAGTGAAGGAGTTTCCTGCTCCAGGCACCCAAGCTAGGCAGGCCCAGAGCTGCCAGAGCTGTACGTGCCTGGCATCCCTAGCCAGCCACCTGAGAACTACAAGAGGATGATTAGTTGAGAGGTAACCGTACTAGAATGGTGGTAACCTGAGGAGAAGAGCAGCAGCCACAGCAGTGGGAATAAGAAGGCTCAAATCCCTGAGGCTCAATCAGACAGACATGCCCTGCCTCACTGGGCAAGCAGAGGAAGACAGCATCTTCTCTGGTGGCAGCCACTGACTGAATGGTCCTGGTATGTTCTCCACATGGTATAAATTCAGCATGGGGTGGAATCAGCAGAAAAACTCTGGTAATTTGAATAACCAGAGTAGATCAACTTCCCCAAGGAAGGATGGGGCAGATGCATCCCATACATAAATAGATGGCTAAAATGTCAGAAATCGAGTTCAGAATTTGGATAGCAAATAAGATTAAAAGAATAGAAGAAAGGAGGGAATTAGAATTTCAAGATGTTATTAAAAAGATATATCAAGAAGTTTTTCAAAAGCTGTCTCAAGAATTCAATGATTTCAAAGATAAAATGACCAAAGATTTAGAAAGACTGAGGCAAGAGGTCGAGCCCTCAAATATCTGAAAAATACGGTAGAATCCCTTGGTAACAGAATGGAGCAGGCAGAAGAAAGGATCTCTGACATTGAAGACAAAGCTTCTGAACGTGCCCAAGTGCATGAGGATGAAAAGAAATGGAGAGAGAAAACGGACCACTCTCTCAGAGAGCTCTGGGGTAATTCGAAGAAAACTAATATTTGTCTTATAGGAATCCTTGAAGGTGACGAAGTTGCTTCACAAAGCACAGAGGCTCTACTTAATGAAATTAAGAAAGAGAACTTTCCAGACATGCCAAGAGATTCTGAAACTCAGATAGCAGACAGTTTCAAAACTCCAGCATGACTCCTGAACAAGACATCCTCCAGGCACATCATAATTAACTTCACTAAAGTTAATATGAAAGAGAAAATTCTGAAAGCAACTAGACATAAGAAAACCATAAACTACAAAGGGAAGAATATTAGAATGACTGCAGATCTCTCTGCTGAAACCTTTCATGCTAGAATAGGGTGGACATCAACTTTTAAGCTAAAACAAAATAACTTTAAAACCAGGATCCTGTATCCAGCTAAACTGTGTTTCATTTATGATGGAGAAATTAAATACTTTAATGACATTCACACGTTGAAGAAATTTGCTATAACTAAACCAGGCCTCTAGGATATTCTCAGACCTATCCTC